TGAGCCTCCTTTTCTCCAGGCTGAGCCCCCACAGCTCCCTCAGAAAAGCCGCTCCTCAGAAAAGCTCCATGAAAACATCTCTCTTCCAGCCCTCTGCTCTGCAGATCCATGGGGATCCCTCCAGCCACACCTCACCATCCACCCAGCCTTTCCCAAGTGCCTCCAGCTTGCTCCCAGCCAGCTGGTCGGGAAAAGGAAGCTGTCCCAACACCTCTACTGCCCACAAACCTCTCTTCTCCTCAAGAAAGGAGAAATGGGCTCTTTGGGGACAAAGCCAGCATCCTTGGCATCCCACTGAAGCACACCTGGAGGGCACCGACCCTGCGGTGACAACCCCCTGGTGACACTGTCCCCCTGCAGCCACTTGGCTGCCTGGGAGGGACAGGTTTGTCCGGAAAGTTCTCAACTCATTGCAAGCCCAAGCAGCCCCAAGTGCATCCCTGACAATTCCTCCCGGGTACTGCTGACAGCTGCTGCAATATTGCTCCTGTCAAGCAGCATTTAAGTCCCCTTTTCTCCCCAGCTCAGGTTCTCTGTTAGTTCTGGGCAATCCTATCACTGCCAAGCAAAGCCCTCCCTTCCTCTACTCCTAGAGATTGGATGAAATTCCTGACTGGGAAGGTGCTGAGAGGGGTGTGTGGGGTGTGGGTGTTGATGTTCCTTCTGAAATGCATTTTAGCTTCAGCTGTGATCATTCTGGGTAGTTTTATTTTCCCCTGGTTTTAAGAGTCCTGTTATTATCCCCTCCTAGAAAAGTGTTTGCAAACCAATCAATGCCCAGATTTTTTGTCTCTGTTCATGTTTGGAAGCTGACTCTCTGTGCACCACGTGCAGGCAAATGAGCTGCAGGTTTGAGATGGGAAGCAAACTTCCAGATACTTGATGTTCTCAGGTCCTCCCAATTCAGTGACATTGGGAAGTTTGCAATTTCCTTCAGCTCCTTGTACTGAGGAATGGGAAGTCAGGCTTTCCTGACTATAGGAGGATTAAATGCCAGATTCTTCTGGGCCTTGCCAGCCCAGGTGTTTTTGTGCTGCAGGTCATGACTTCCATGAAGAAATGATGGCAAGAAGGAGCCACAGCTTCTGC